ACGATTTGCAAGCATATCTCGGACGAGTATTTTCCAGATGAAAACCGATCTTCAGAATATTAAGAAGGGTCCTGAGTCTGTTGACCAATATCTTCAGAAGATCAAGGATTCCAGGGATCAACTTTCTGCTGTTGGTGTCGACATCTCTGATGAAGATATCATGATTCTTACTCTCAAAGGTTTACCTGCTGAGTACAATACTATTAAGGCCGTGATTCGTGGTAAGGAGAGTGTTTTATCATCGAAAGAACTTCGTTTTCAACTTAAGGCTGAGGAATCTACTCTTGAAGAAACTGCTCGACAAATTCCTTTGCTTTCTGCAATGGCTGTCCAGCCACATGCTGCAGGTTCTGTGCCGCCTTCTATTATGCCTGTGCCACCTCAATCTGTGTCATATTCTCCCAATTCATCTTCTGGATTTCGTGGTTCATCTTTTCGAGATCGTGGTAGAGGTCGTCTATCCTATAATACTTTTCAACGATTTCCTGGAAACAATGGTAATTACAATAACTCAAGTGGGATTCTTGGCCGGCCTCAACATGTTCCTCCATTCTCTGGTTCATATCCTGTGCCTACTTGTCAAATTTGCAACAAAAGAGGGCATATTGCAGCAACTTGCAATTTTCGATCTACCTCATCTCAATCTGCTGCTATTGAACCTTGTCAAATTTGTTGGAAAAGGAATCACACTGCCCTCACTTGTCACTTCAGAGATAGTTATGCTTCTCCTTCCCCTCAAATGAGTGTCATGTCTGCTCAGGCATCTCCTTCTCAAGAAGTTTGGATTGCAGATTCTGGGGCTACCAATCATATGACTGCAGATATATCTGCTTTGTCTACACCTGCTTCTTATTCTACTGCTGATACTACCACGGCTGCTAATGGAGCAGGTCTCAATATTGCTCACATTGGAACCTCTATTCTTCCTACTCCAAGTCATGTTTTTCGACTTAACTCAGTCCTTCATGTTCCTCAGTTATCTACTGGTTTATTATCTGTGAATCAATTATGCAAAGAAAATAATTGCCGCTGTATCTTTGATGCCACTTGCTTATATATACAGGACATAGCTACAGGGAAACTTCTGTACAAAGGCCTGAGCAGTAATGGTCTTTATCCTATGCCTCGTCCTCTTAATCATGCTGCATCTTCTGCTGCCTTGCTTGGACAGAAGGTCACTTCAGATCTTTGGCATTGCAGACTTGGACATCCTACAAACTCAGTTGTGCAACTTGCTTTGGATCAATCTGGTATCTCTGCATCTTCTACAGATTCTGCTATATGTGAAGCTTGTTTGAAGGGCAAATTTACTAAGCTACCTTTTGCCTTAGTTCCTATTAAATCTGATAAACCATTTCAGGTCATTCATAGTGACCTTTGGGGTCCATCTTCTTGTACTTCTATTGAAGGCTTTCGATACTATGTTTCTTTCATAGATGAATGTACTCGTTACACTTGGATTTTTCCCTTGAGAAATAAATCAGAAGTTTACTCTCATTTTGTGCACTTTTATTCTTTTGTGCTCAATCAGTTTTCTACTTCTATTCAAGTGCTTCAAAGTGATGGAGGGGGGGAGTACATTGGTAATCAGTTTCAGCAATTTTTAGCTTCTAAAGGTATTTTACATCATAGATCTTGCCCTTACACACCAGAACAGAATGGATTAGCCGAACGAAAGAATAGACACTTGATGGAAACTGCCATCACTTTAATGCAAGCTGCCTCATTGTCTGAAAAATACTGGTTTCATGCTTGTGCAACTGCAACTTACTTGATTAATCGACTGCCTTGTCGGCCTCTACATATGCAATCACCCTATGAAGTGTTGTATGGATCCTCTCCTTCTCTTCACCATCTCAGGATATTTGGTTGTGCTTGTTATCCCTCTATGAAGCCTTATAATCATAATAAATTGCAGCCTAAAACTACACAATGTATTTTCCTTGGTTATGCTTCTCAGTATAAAGGATACATTTGTTTTGATACTTATGCAAACAAACTAATTGTCTCTCGACATGTTCTATTTGATGAGACCATTTTTCCCTCTAGTCAACTCAAGGACAAGGGTGGTTCTACATCAGTTTCTTCTATGCCTTCCACATGCTCTCCGCCAACTCATCCTTTATATTTCCCCCAATTTCCATCTGTGGATCATGCTGATTCGGTGCTTCCTTCAGATTCATCATCTTCAACATCTTTGCCGGCTCAAGCTACTACTTCTGTCTTAGATGTTATCTCTACATCTCCTCATGATTCTAGTGCTCCTACCTCTCAATCTCCTGATCTGCATATGGTTTCTCCTATTCCTCAGAATCAGCATCCAATGCAAACTAGAAGTAAATCTGGCATTTTCAAGCATAAAGCTTTTCTCACTACAGATATCTCTACCAATGTTATATCAGAACCTCATACTTATGCCTCAGCTGCTAAAGTTCCTCAATGGCAGTTAGCTATGCAAGAAGAAATGAATGCTTTAAAAGCTCAGGGTACTTGGCAATTGGTTCCTCTACCTCCCAATCGCAATCTTGTAGGTTGTAAGTGGGTTTATAGAATTAAGAAAAACTCAGATGGGTCTGTTGCAAGGTATAAAGCACGTTTGGTAGCAAAGGGGTTCTCTCAAGAGGCTGGTTTGGATTATGCAGAGACTTTTAGTCCTGTTGTAAAACCTTCTACAGTTCGATTAATGCTTGCTCTTTCTGCTACCTTTGGTTGGAAAATGCAACAACTAGATGTGAAGAATGCTTTTCTTCATGGCATTCTTCACGAGGAGGTTTACATGTCCCAGCCTCCTAGCTTTATTGATTCTTCGCATCCCCATCATGTCTGCAAGTTGGTTAAATCACTCTATGGCCTCAAACAAGCCCCTCGAGCTTGGAATGACCGATTCACTAAGTTTCTTCTTACTTTAGGCTTCACAGCTTCATATGCTGATCCCTATTTATTTGTCTGCAAAAAGTCTGACTCTCTAGTCTTTCTTTTGTTATATGTCGATGATATTATCATCACCGGATCTGATTTAGCTGTTGTTCAATTGATTATTGATAAACTTTCACAGGAATTTGACATGAAAAATCTTGGGGATCTCCATTATTTTCTTGGCCTTCAGATTCAATATCCAGCAGATGGCATCTTTGTTCATCAGTCCAAATATATTCTTGATGTGCTTACTAAGGCCAATCTCTTGGACTGCAAACCTTGTGTTACCCCTTGTCATCCCAATCATAAGCTGCTCAAGGATGGTAGTCTTCCTTACTCAGATCCTGCTCACTATCGCAGTATTGTTGGTGCCCTTCAATATCTCACCTTTACTCGGCCTGACATTGCCTATGCCGTGCATCAAGTTTGTCAGTTTATGCATACTCCTTTGGACACTCATTACTTAGATGTTAAACGTATTCTTCGTTATCTAAAGGGTACTATGTCTCATGGTTTGCTGTATAAGCAAGGTTCTTTGGACATGACTGCTTTCACTGATGCTGACTAGGCTGGGGATCCAAATGATCGACGGTCTACAACTGGTTTTGTTATTTTTCTTGGCACAAACCCCATCTCCTGGTCTTCCAAGAAGCAACAATCTGTTTCACGTTCTTCTACTGAAGCCGAATATCGTACAATGGCCGTGACTGCAGCTGAAATTGTATGGCTTCAGCAGCTTCTTACTGATCTGCATTGTCCTCTTGTTAAGAAACCAGTTTTATGCTATGATAATATCTCTGCCATGGCTCTGTCTTCCAATCCTGTGCTTCATTCTCGTGCCAAGCACATTGAAATCGACTGTCACTTTGTTCGTGAGAGAGTCACTCGTGGGGAATTCCTTCTTCAGCATGTTTCTTCTGCCCAGCAAGTTGCTGATGTGCTTACTAAAGGCCTCTGCTCTCCTCAATTTGATTATCACTGTTCCAACCTCATGCTTGGTCCTCCTGTGCATGAGGTTGAGGGGGGATGATAGGATATAAAGGCACTTGTACCTATTATAAGATGACAAGTGTCATGTCGTGATTTGTTGAGTTAGTTAGATTGCTTAGTCAAGAAGATTACAATGTAACAATATATAAGAAACGTGTAAGCTGGTAATTGCTTACTGAAGCAAGAAACAGAAATAGAAAACAAAATCTTTTTCTTCAATTCTCTCAGATTCTTCTCATTCTCTTTGATGTTTTCATAGATATCATGCACAATCACATGCCTTAGGAGAATCATGCATCCTGCACCTAGATACCATAGGCTTGTATGCGATAATCTATTGTTGATGAAGCTTGAGTCAATTTCTATGCATTCATAACTTGGATAGGAAAACTAGTGGTGGATTCCCAGGCTCTAACACCTCTTAATTATTGTTTCACAATCTGTCCAGTGTTTACTTTTGAGCACTTTCATTTCACTTTCTTCTTTTCATTT